TCCCAGCAGGCTGAAAGCTGGTTTCTGGGGTTTTGTTTAGCTTCTATATTTGTTACAATGTTTCTTAGAGTTGCAGCTCAGAGGCCGGCAAGTCAGGCGGGGAACGTTGGAGTCTGCAGTCACTGAAGCAAGGAAGCCTCATGTTCGCTTCCAGCTGCCTGGCTGCCGGCCGCCATCTTGGTTGACAGTTAATTTGCATAAGGATATGCTGATTAGCCAATGGGAAGGGTAGCGGTCGTACGCTAATTACCATGTTTCTCTTTTATTAGTGTAGATAATCATCTGTCATCATGCACAGTTATGATATTCTTGACTATATTCTCTATGATGTACATTACATCCCTGTAACTTATTTTATACCTGGAAGTTTATAGTTCTTTTTTAAAAAATTGAGTTACCAAAGTCCCTGAAAAAGAGAACTAGATTATCTTAGTATTAAAGAGATTAACTTTATTTCTCTTTATTCGGACTCATCCATTTTGAAACTCACCAGCTTAGGAAGTTGCAAACCCATACAGTTTCTAACAACTCATACTGACCATTAAGAAAGGACTTATAGAAATAAAAATTAAGTGCATAGGAATGATCAAAGAGTATAAAATTCCTATCATGGTATAAAGAGAGAAAGAAGGCTTTCTGTGACTGAAATATTATTTCATGTCCATGGTTCAGGAATAAGATGCTTCTATTAGGAGCTGAGAAATCAAGATGAGAAAAGTTTGGTGTCTAAATTGGATGCCTGAGTTCTCTGCTATGCCATTTTTGGCTAGTCTAATGAAATCAGTTGGAGAAAGAGGCCTGAAGAAGAGGAGAAGGAAATTTTCAATGTCTGGTAAATCTCCAGCCCCAAGGGTAGAACTGAGAGTTGAGTACAAATGTACTCAATTCCTGACCTTGAATGACTTGTTTATAGAGAGAAAGAGAAATGGAGACAGAGAAACATCACGATGTGAGAGAGAAACATCAATCAGTTGCTTCCCATATGCATCACAACCAGGGGTGGAATCTCATCTTAGGTGTGTTCCCTGTCCATGAATTGAACCCACAACAAACCCACAAGATTTGGTATATGGGACGACACTTCAACCAATTGAGCCACCTAGCTAGGGCTTACAACCAATATTTTGAGCTCGTTATTTACATTACTTGTCTCTGTTTCATTTAGTTCTTTTTCTGGGGTGCTCAGAGGTATACCTGGAGAGGGAATGATCTACAGAAAGTCTTGGGGACAAGCCACAGTGCTGATGTGTGTCTGGGTCTTGGAATGTACAGGGACATCCTTGGTGGGACAGCTAGAGTGCCTGGATTGTGCTCCTGCCTGTGCAATCAAAGTGGAAGGGAGTGCAATACATGATGCACTCAGTATCTCTGACAGAGATTTTCTGGAGCAATAATGGAGACAATAGGGCTACAAATGAAAAACTATAATATCAAAGACAGCAAAATGAAGAAACACCGGTCAGTCAATAGAAATTATCTAGTAAACTGAAGTGCAAGGAGCAAAATGAGTAGGATAAAAACAACTAAATAAAATAGAACATCTGGAGATGTGGAACAATGAAAAAAAAAATAACTAACACTCATATGTAATTAAAACCCCAGATGGAAGGGAGGGGGAGAGAGAGAGAGAGAGAGAGAGAAGAGAGAGAGAGAGAGAGAGAGAGATCAGGCAGGAGAAATATTTGAAGAGATAATGGCTGAGTTTTCATCTGCAATTTATTTTATTTTTTAATTTCTTTTCTTTACTGATTAAGGTATTACATATGTGTCCTTACGCCCCATTACCCCCCCCACACACACACACACACTCATGCCCTCACCCCCCTGTTGTCTGTGTCCATTGGTTAGGCTTATATGCATGCATACAAGTCCTTTGGTTGATTGGTTGATATTACCCCCACCCTTCCCTACCTTCTCTCTGAGGTTTGAGCATCTGATTGATGCTTCTCTGTCTCTGGATCTGTTTTTGTTCATCACTTTATGTTGTTCATTATATTCCACAAATGAATGAGATCATGTGATCTTTATCTTTCTCTGGCTTATTTTGCTTAGCATAATGCTCTCCAGTTCTATCCATTCTGTTGCAAATGGGAAGAATTCCTTTTTTTAACAGCAGCATAGTATTCCATTGTGCACCACTGTTTTTTAATCCACTCATATGCTAATGGGCCCTTTGGCTGTTTACAAATCTTAGCTATGGTAAATTGTGCTGCGATGAAATAAGGGTGCATATATTCTTTCTTATTGGTGTTTCTAGTTTCTTGGAATATATTCCCAGAAGTGGGATCACTGAGAGTTCTATTTTTAGTTTTTTGAAGAAACTCCATACTGTTCTCCACAGTGGCTGCACCAGTCTTCATTACCACCAGCAGTGCACGAGGGTTCCTTTTTCTCCACATCCTTGCCTACACTTGTCATTTGTAGAATTGTTGATAGCCATTCTGACAGGTGTGAGATGGTACCACATTGCCATTTTGATTTGCATCTCTGGGATGACTAGTGACTTTCAGCATGTTTTCATATGTCTCTTGGCTTTCCTTATGTCTTCTTTCGAAAAGTATTTATTTAGGTCTGTTGCCTATTTTTTGATTGGGTTGTTTATCTTCCTTTTGTTAAGTTGTATGAGTTCATCTGCAATTTCTGTTCATCAAATAAATAACCTTTATCTCTTTTAGCTACTTTTCTTGGATGTTACTTTCATATCTTTAATTTAATATGCTTAAAATATTTTTATTTTGCAGTGGTAGATATTTTAATCAATCTGAGATGTAACTTACATATCATACAATTCACCCTTTTAAAGTGTATAATTCAATGCTTTTTATTATATGCAAAGAGTAGTGTATTTGTCACAACAACAGTACATTTTAGAATCTCTTTATGCAAAAAGAAATACATCTTTGCCATCACCCCATGTATAGTCAGATTTTGTGGCTATTGTGAGGACTAGTAAGTCTGAAATTTTCAGATCTAGCCACAGGCTGAAAATTCCAGAAGGTATTTGTAAAATTCAGAGTAGATATTGCAGTATTAAGTTTGAAGGTAGTGTGGATATAGAATTCCTTCCTCTTTGAGGGATCTCAATCTTTTAAGGCCTTTGATTGACTGGATGAGGCCCACCAACATTATAGATAGTCATCTGCTTTACTTAGAGCCTGCTGGGAAATTTGCGACGTGATGTGCCCTGGCAGTGACCCCACCCCATACACATCTGGATCTGGCCTTTACAGACCCTCAGCTGGAAGCATTTGAACACATTGAAAAACAAGATGAAAACCCAGAAAAACCCAGATGAGGTGATTATGTGGGAGATACCCTAAAAGGGGGGGCCTCAGTAGCCAGCTTCCTCCTGGTAGTAGGAGGGTACTCAAGGGTGTTTCCTGGGCTTTGGAAATTGCCAGCTTGCCCTGGATCCCATTGGCCACTGGGCCTCCTGGGCAGTACTTGGGGTCATATATCCATTCGCTCAAGCCAAAGACTTGGCCTCTACATTTGGCGCCATGTGTTTAGCCCATCTTCAGAGACATGGAGGTGGTGTCACACTTGTCAGTCCCCAGCTTGGTGTCAAAGATGTGCCTCTGGGCCCTGGGAGCCATCATGCCCACCTGGTTGACATACCGGCTGCTATCTGTTTGGAGCCTGATGATGCACTGGCCACATTAATTGTATATTGTAAATGCCTCTCCTGCTTTTTGACGTACTTGATTCTTCTGTCCACACCACTCTGCCATCCCTTTGTCTTGGCCTTCTGTGCCAGAGCCAGAGGAGACATCTCCACCTCAGACAAGTCATTGGGTTCGAGCGTGGAGTTTATGGCATAGCTGGCCATGGCCTTCATGCAGTTGAAGTCGTTTTCTAGCTGGTTCTGGTTTTGCATGGGGTGGTTGATCTTGGGAACTGAGCCTGGCTTCAGCTTATTCATGAGTGTGCACAGGATCATTCCATCCTTCAAACCCTCTTGGAAGTCGGGACCGATGGACAGGCCTGTGAGATCCTCAATCCAGCTTCGGAGTTCTGCCTCTTTGTGTTTGGGCAGGAGCGGGGTCTCAACCTCAGCTGGAAACCTGTTCCTAGGCCTGTTGTTGAACTGTGTGGGCCTTATGGTACAGGGATCCATGGTGGTGGTGGGACAGCTGGCCTGGCTGGTGCAGTGTCAGAAAACAAAATAAATAGAGCACACTGATAAAACTGAAGAGGAGAAATAGGCTAATGAACAGCTATACTTTAAAATTTCAACACTCCTTTCTTAGTAATTGCTGAAACAAGTAGACAAAAAATCAGAAAGGATTTTAAAGTCTTCAATAACATCAACAAATTTGACGTAACTGATATTACAGAATATTCCACCCAACAATAAAAATAAAAATTCTTTACAAGTACACATACAATACAAATACAATACAAAACACGTACAATGCAAATTCTTTACAAGTACACATAATATATGTACTAAGATAGGCCATATGCTGGGCAAGAAAATAATCTCAATAGACTTAAAAGGATTTAAATAATAGAAAATAATATTTTTTGTAGGAAGTGGGTAGAAGTGACGTGTAGGTGTCAATAGGAAAAAAAAGGGAGACATCTGTAATACTCTTTTTCTTCCCTATATCAGGGAATTTTTCTGTCATTATTTCTTCAAACAGGTTTTCTATTCCTTGCTCAGTTTCCTCTCCTTCTGGCACCCTTATAATGAGGATGTTGTTTTGTTCTGTGTTGTCCCAAATTTCTCTTAGGCTCTCCTCCTGCTTTTTAATTTTTTTTTCTAGAAGCTGCTCTGCTTGGGTATTTTTTCCTACCTGGTCTTCTAGCTCACTGATGAGGTCCTCTGCTTCTTCCAGTCTACTGTTATTGCTTTCTATTGAGTCCTTTATAGCAGTGATGTAATTTTTCATTTCTTCTTGGTTCTTCATTTCCTCTTGGTTCTTACACATATTGCTGAATTTGTCTTCCATTCTTTTCATCCACCTTATGACCATTTCTCTGAATTCTTTCTCTGAAGGTTGCTTTCCTCCATTGCCTCCATTTTGTTTACTTCCATTTCTGGTGATGCCTGTTTTTCTTTCATATGCGGGCTGTTTCTTTATCTCCCCATGATCTCTCTTCTCCAGGTGTTTGGTTATGTAGTTCTCTCTCTGCTTTTCGTGAGGAGGAGCAGGGCTCATCTGAGTCCACATATTCACGCTGCTTGAGATCCGGTGTTCCTGGGTTCATAGCTGGTCCCTGGGTGCTGTGGTTGCAGGGTCTCTGGATGTATATGCTTCCAATATCAGCCACTCAAGATGGTGCGGTCTCTGCGGCTGAGCCGGCCACTCTGGGAGAGATTTCAGCAGCAGTGGAGGTTGTCTGGTTAGGGGAGCCCTATCCGGCAGTCTACAACAGCCCCCTCGAGTATAGCTATCGCTCACCCACAAATTTATACTCTCGGTATTTCCACACTCTCCTTTTGTTCTCTCACTCTCACACTGTCTTGCAGTCTGCCTTTCCATCGGCAGCAATCTTCCTCCTCCTGACATCTGAAATACTCTTAACAATAAAGATAAATTTTTAAAAAAGAAAATCATGTTCTTTGACCGAAACGGAATTAAACTAAAAATATGTTGGATATTCCCAAATATCTGGAAATTAAATAACACATTTATAAATACTCCATGGGTCAAAGAAAAGAAATAACAAGGAAAATTAGAAAATATTTGAACTGAATAATAAAAATGCAGTACATTAAAACTCATACAGCTAAAGCAGTCTCCAGAGAAAATTTTATTTTTTACATTTTATTCATCTTATTTTGAATTGGGTTCAAAGATTTTTTAATAATAGACTAAAAAATAGCAATAGTACATCTTATTCACTTTATTTTGCATTGGGTTTGAATATTTTTAATGATAGATTTTTATCTTTTTATTTATCTTTATTGTTGAAAGTATTACAGATGTCCCCCTTTTTTTCCATTGACCCCCTCTACCCTGTACCCTTATAGATTTTTAAATGATAGTTGTGGATATTGGAGAGAAAAATTGATCAACAATTGTGGAATCGTTTAATTTGTTCACAAACTCATCTAAATAGAAGGTTCTGAAAGTCCTAATGCTAAAGTATTTTATTGACATTCAATATTATTTTATATTAGTTTCAGGTGTACCTCATAGTGTTTAGACATTTAAGTAAAACAGTGCATCATCAATCTGCTTCCTCCCGCATGGCCCCCACTGAGATCGAGCCTACAACACAAGCATGTGCCCAAACCAGGAATCAAACTATTGACTTCTTGGTGCATAGGCAGATGCTCAACTAACTGAGCCACACCAGACAGGGGATACACTTATTTCTTAGGCAAAAGTTGTATGATACCAAAATGAGTATTACTCATTGGTGGTCAATTTAAGATCTCATAAATGAATGTTTCACATAGCTTGTGCATGTTTATTGTATCATGAATATTTGGTCCTTTCATCACCTTTGATCCTTCCATCACCTTTGTTCCTCCTCTTCTTCCCACAACATTAATAATAACAATAATTATAATAACCTTTCAATGAATGCCTTTGTGTTGTTCCAAGGCAAGGATTCTTTATGTAAATGATTTCTTGTAATCCACAAAGTATCTATAAGTAACATATTATTTTCTATACTTTATAGTTGAGGTATTAGAGTCTCATTAATGTGACTTCCTGAGTCTAGGAAGAATTTTGCTGAGTTTGATCTTGTTCCAAAACAGAAAGGTGAAGGGCAGATACCTCTGAGAAGGAATATATATATGTATGTATAAAGCATACCTTTACTTATTTTCCGTGCCTTTTTTTTTGAGCCTAAATAAATTCCAGTGAAGATGGAAGTCTGCAGTACCAGAAGTGCCAAACATATACCCGATATGATGAGTATTGTACTGATGAGCTCAATCACCCTGGTGGGTGCAGCAACTGAAATACAAATGCCCCCCAATCAGTTTCCCTGAAGAAAGTTGTTCCCACATTCACTTCTTGCTTAATCAATCCCCAGTCACATTCCCTCTAACAGGAATACATTGTGGATCCTCCCTCTATCCCTATTACCCTTTCAAAATGTGGTTAATTAGTAAGTTCAAGCCTCCATTCAATATTATCTTATTCAGCTTACTTGTTCAGAAAACAAATGTAAGAAAATAAATTAATTTCTCCCATGGAAGAGTAGCAATGTAACAGTATGTAACAGAATTGATACTATTGAGTAAAGAGTAGGTCAGGGAGGTAATCCATGGGCTTTGCAGGTGGCTGAAGCTGGTACCTGGGATAGCATGACAGAATCAAGGGACCAGAGGTCTCTATGAGTCTGAAAATCCTGCCTACAAAGAGGAAAAGTATAAAAGTTGAAAGAATTGGAAGTTATACTCAATTGAGATATTGAGGTTTAATGTTTTAGAACTAAAACATGTTTACTTTTGGATCAAGCCCAGGCTCTGACACTGGCAGTGGGCGATTGAAGTGCAGTGGGTCTCTGCACTGTCCCTGTTCCTGGAACACTTGTTGGCTTTCCCTTTATCATCCTTATTGGACAACTTCTCCTCCCTCTTCAGTCATTAGGTACAATGTTATCTCAAAAAAGCCTTTGTTGAGAAAATGTGCCTAAAATACAGAAAAAATGCAAAAACAAATCCCGTGTGTTTTTAATATCATGTTAAAACATTATGTAATACATTTATCTAAGGAGAACCTTACTTTGTAAAATAAAACTTTATTATGGTTTTATTAACCTACTAGAGGCCCAATGCACAAAATTTGTGCACTGGAGAGTGGGGTTGCCCTAAGAGGCCCCGGGTCTCAATGTCCCGGGGTAATCGCTGCAAGCATCTCTGAGAGAAAGCCGCTCTCGAGTTCCGCCCAATGCCAGACAGTCCAGTTTCTCCCCTTATGAGTCTGGGTCCCCAGAGACTTGCCCGGAACTGTAGTTCAAAGCAGGAGCTTGTGTCTCCCTCCTGATTGAAAAAGAGCTGCGTCCTCAGTTGCCAACCCTTTCCACGTGTGCCTCCATACCTCTGCACTTAACTTCCGCACCTCCTCTGAGTCTCAGTGTGCTTTTCTCTTACCTTCTAGTTGTAGAATTTCCACTTGGCCAGCCTTCCTGTGGTTCTGGATGATGCCCGTTTTGTCTTTTAGTTGTATTTTGAAAGTGGTTTTGAGAGGCAGCAATTTCCGGTGTTTACCTATGCCGCCATCTTGGTTTTCTGGGTTCAAAGGTTTTTTTAATAATAGACTAAAAAAATACAAACTACATTTTATTCACTTTATTTTGCATTGGCTTTGAATATTTTCTTAATGATAGATGTTTATCTTTTTAATTACCTTTATTGTTGAAAGCATTACAGATGTCCCCCTTTTTTTCCCATTGACCCCCTCCACCCTGCACTCTTATAGATTTTTAAATGATAGTTGTGAATATTGGAGAGAATACTTGGGCAACCATTGAGGAATAATCTAATTTGTCCACAAACTCATCTAAAATGGAAGGTTCTGAAAGCCCAATGATAAAGTATTTTATTGACATTCAGTATTATTTTATACTAGAGGCCCGGTGCATGAAATTTGTGTATGGGTACAGTCCCTAGGCCTGGCCTGCAATCAGGGCAATCTTCCCTGGATGCTGGCAGCCAGCCCCGCCCCCTGGCAGCCAGCCCTGCCCCCTGTTGCCATCCACCCCTAGCTCCCCGTTTACCATTGGGCAATCGGAGCCTGCCAGCCAGGGGGAAAGACCAAGAGGTTGGCTGTTCCCACTCACTTGCTGGTCCTGGCCCCTGACGCCAGTCTCCCTCTGTTTGTGAGAAGACCGTCGGGGTGGGGACCTTGGCCTGGTGCCACCCGCATCTGCTGTCACCCACCCCCGGTTCCCTGTTCCCCATTGGGCAATTGGAGCCTGCTGGCCAGGGGAAGGGACTAAGAGATTGGCCAGCAGACCCCAATAGGGTGATCAAGGCCTGTGGGCTGGGGTAGCACCTGCATTGAGTGTCTTTCCCCTGGTGGTCAGTGCGGGTCAAAGCGACCAGTCATTTTGTCGTTTGGTCGATTTGCATATTACACTTTTATTATATAGGACTAGAGGCACAGCGCACAAAAATTTGTGCACTCAGGGGTAGGGGTCCCTCAGCCCGGCCTGTGCCCTCTCGCAGCCTGTGACCCCTCAGGGGTGACTACTTGCTGGCTTAGGCCTGCTCCCCGGGGGATTGAGCCTAAGCTGGCAATCAGACACCCCTCTGGCAGCCCGGCAGCCCCCGGGGGATGTCCATTTGCCAGTGGGGAGCAGACCTAAGCTGCAGTTGGACATCCTTAGTGCTGCTGAGGAGGCAGGAGAGGCTCCCACCACCACCACTGACTGGCAGCCCTCAGCCTGGCTTGTGGCTGAGCAGAGCTCCCCCCTGTGAGAGCGCACTGACCACCAGAGGGCAGCTCCTGCATTGAGGGTCTGCCCCCTGGTAGTCAGTGTGTGTCATAGTGATCAGTCATTCCCAGGCTTTCTGCTGTTAGGGTCAGTTTGCATATTACCCTTTTACTATATAGGATAGAGGCCTGGTGCACGGGTGGGGGCCGGCTGGTTTGCCCTAAAGGGTGTCCCGGATCAGGGTGGGGGTCCCGCTTGGGTGCCTGGCCAGCCTGGATGAGAAGCTGATGGCTGTTTGCAACTGGTCACACCCCCTTCAGGGTGGGGGTCCCCACTGGGGTGCCTGGCCAATCTGGGTGAGGGGCTGAGGGCC